ACAACGAGAATGACAGTGGAAATGACAACGAGAATGACTCGGCGAAAATGACACAAAGAAAATGACTCACAGTGAATGGCTCGACAAAAAATGACAATGAAAATGTGCCAACCAAAAGGACTTAGCGAACATGACACAAAAACAAGAACACAACGAAAATGATTAAAAGAAAATGACTCAATGACCTCGATGAAAATTACCCAACAAAATGCCCCAGTGAAAGTGACCCAAAGAAATAATTTACCCAGTCAAAAAACCTCTACGAAAATGACTCAATAGAATTTGACTCAAAAAAAAAAAAAAAAAAAAAAAAGACTACATAAACGACTCAACGGAAATGATGCAACAGAAATAACAACAGAAATTAACTCGACAGAAATGACTCAACGAAAATTCACTGAATAATCAGAAAAAAAGAAAAAAGAAAAAAGAAAACGAAAGTGACTCAGAGAAAACGACTCAACGAAATTAACTCAACGAAAGTGACTCAACGAATATGATGCAGCAGAAACGACTCCACAAAAATTTACTCAATCATCAGACAAAAAGAAAATGAAAACGGAAAGTGACAGCAAAAACGACTCAACGAAACTGACTCAACGAAACTGACTCAACGAAACTGACTCAACAAAACTAATTGAACAAACTTAACTCAACGAAACTGACTCAACGAAACTGACAACGAAACTAACTCACCAAAACTAACTCAACGAAACTAACTCAACGAAACTGACTCAACGAAACTGACTCGACAAAACTAACTCACCAAAACTAACTCACCAAAACTAACTCACCAAATCTAACTCACCAACACTAACTCAACGAAACTGACTCGACAAAACTAACTCACCAAAACTAACTCACCAAATCTAACTCACCAACACTAACTCAACGAAACTGACTCAACGAAACTGACTCAACAAAACTAATTGAACAAAATTAACTCAACGAAACTAACTCAACGAAACTGACTCAACAAAACTAACTCACCAAAACTAACTCACCAAAACTAACTCAACGAAACTGACTCAACGAAACTAATTGAACAAAATTAACTCAACGCAATTAACTCAACGAAACTAACTCAACGAAACTGACTCAACGAAACTGACTCAACAAAACTAACTCACCAAAACTAACTCACCAACACTAACTCAACGAAACTGACTCGACAAAACTAACTCACCAAAACTAACTCACCAAAACTAACTCACCAAAACCAACTCACCAAAACCAACTCACCAAAACTAACTCACCAAAACTAACTCACCAAAACTAACTCACCAAAACTAACTCACCAAAACTGACTCACCAAAACTAACTCAACAAAACTAACTCAACAAAACTAACTCAACAAAACTAACTCAACAAAACTAACTCAACAAAACTAACTCAACAAAACTAACTCAACAAAACTAACTCAACAAAACTAACTCACCAAAACTAACTCACCAAAACTAACTCACCAACACTAACTCAACGAAACTGACTCAACGAAACTGACTCAACAAAACTAATTGAACAAAATTAACTCAACGTAATTAACTCAACGAAACTGACTCAACGAAACTGACTCAACAAAACTAATTGAACAAAATTAACTCAACGTAATTAACTCAACGAAACTGACTCAACGAAACTGACTCGACAAAACTAACTCACCAAAACTAACTCACCAAAACTAACTCACCAACACTAACTCAACGAAACTGACTCAACGAAACTAACTTAACGAAACTAACTCACCAAAACTAACTCACCAAAACCAACTCACCAAAACCGACTCACCAAAACTAACTCACCAAAACCAACTCACCAAAACTAACTCACCAAAACCAACTCACCAAAACTAACTCACCAACACTAACTCAACGAAACTGACTCAACGAAACTAACTTAACGAAACTAACTCACCAAAACTAACTCACCAAATCTAACTCACCAACACTAACTCAACGAAACTGACTCGACAAAACTAACTCACCAAAACTAACTCACCAAAACCAACTCACCAAAACTAACTCACCAAAACTAACTCAACGAAACTGACTCAACGAAACTAACTTAACGAAACTAACTCACCAAAACTAACTCACCAAAACCAACTCACCAAAACTAACTCACCAAAACTAACTCAACGAAACTGACTCAACGAAACTGACTCAACAAAACTAATTGAACAAAATTAACTCAACGTAAC